CTTGCCCTGCTCCCCCAGGGTCCCAGTCACCAGAGGGTGGTGTGTGGTCACCCCTAGTTTGCCGAGAGGAGCCATCTTCCTACTGGCCACGGGCCCACCCCTCAGGTCCTGCCCCCCGCCCCTGCCCTCCGGCTCCTAGGAGACTTCCTTGTGTTGGACTCATCAACGTTGAGAACTGAGGATGCTCGAGGTGACGCCTCGCAACCCAACGCCAAACAGAAGGAAGAGGCCCGATGCCGTCCCTGAAACTCCCGGCCAGTGACCTCCCGGCTGCTCTGCACCAAAAGAGAGAAGCCCGCCGCCCTAGGCGTGAGTGGCGGCACAGCCTCACGGTTTCCCCCGAGAGCGGAGGAAGGAAAGGCAGCCCAGGAAGCAAACGCAGGGAGTTCCGCGTCCGTGTGGCCCAGAGCACATGGCGGACGCGGAAGCTGGAGCCGCAGGGTCACTCGAAGGACAGAGCACAGGCCTTTGGTGACGGAAGCGCTAAATACTAGAGACGAAGATCTTGGAATCCAAGAAAAGGGGAACTTTCACTTTGCAACGAGCTAATGCAGAGGTGTGGCGGGGTGCTCCTCGGTCACCAAGTGCCACAGCCACAGTTCTCGGGGACACGGCCCTCGCCCCCACCCCAAGGGTGACACAGGCAGGACAGCAGGGCGGGGCCGAGGGCTGGAATTCGACTTCCAGTGTGGACCCACTGAAGGCAGGGCCCCAAACAAAAATGTGCATACATGTGTACACACATGCATGTACATGTATGTGTGTGTGTGTGTGCATTGTGTGTGTCCGCCCCAGTGCCCGCCACTGTCACTCTCAGGCTGTGAAGTGTTGCAAGGGCCGACGCTCAGCATGGGGTGAGGACCCGTCACCAGAAAAGGCCCACCGAAGGCTCAATGGACTTGGGCAAAGGTGAGTCTTTTCTAACGTAAACGCGGGACCACGTCACAGACACCGGGCGCGCAGTCCGCCTGGTGGGTCCGACCCTCTTGTCCAGATTCTGTCGGTCTCCCTGGGAGACCAGTGGCAAGGTTTTCACAAAAGGCACAGTGTGAGCCGTGGATGGGCCGGAGCAGCCAGGAGGACTGAGGCCAGGGCCGGAGTGGGGGGAGGAGGGAGCCGTGTCCAGCTGCTGTCGTGTCCTGCTCGGGGTGGGACTGGGATGGGGACAGCTCTGACCCAAGAGGTGGCCGGAGGGGCCTGGGCGGAGCGGCCACAGGAGCATGCTGTGGAAAGAAAAGAAAAGAGCAGAGGCAAGCAGCTGCACGGCGTGGGGGTCCCTTCGGCCCGAAGACGCGGCCACTCCGCAGCCCAGCCCGAGCGCACGGTTCACAGCCAGGCCTGTGGAGACAAGCAGACCGGAGGGTTTCTCCTGGGAAGGCTCCCGGCTCTGGCTCCTTGGCCACCTTAGGAATCTACAACACAAACAGAAAGAAAAGCTCTGTTAGAGACGGGGGCCGAGGTCAGGGGCGGGCACAGGGCACCGCGCTGGGGGAGGGGGGAGAGGGCAACCTTAGAGGGATTGGTTACCACCGACACCACAGATAAGGAACTTTCACGGTTTGATCTCCACGCTTTCCTCCAGAGAAGCCCGCCCAGAGGGTGGCAGCACCCACCCACCCAGCTCATCTTTCTAACAAGTTCTGTTTTGAGAGAAGGAAGGTGACCGGCCTCCCGGAATGAAGCCAGGAAGTGAGGCCCGGTTCTCAGACCGCGGTGCCCGGTCCTGTAGCGTCAAGTGAAGAGGAAGCGTATCCCGGATGTTTATCATAAACAGTGAAAGTTCTTCATCTCCAGGGGGAGCAGAGAAACCAGAGACAGACTCAGCCCTCAGGTGCACGCAGGGTGGACACGGGTGTCGTGGGGGAAGGGCTTGCCAAGGGCAGAACGTTTAGGAAGCATTTGGCGAGGACATTCCCAGGACCGAGGACGAGAGCACAGTCATTTTCTCAGAAAGGTACAAATCACTGGACAACACGGAGAAGAATCCGTTTATTAGAGGCGGTACAGATACAGCTGAGAGGAGCCAGACAGATTCTCTTCTTTCAGGGCGAGGAGAGAGAGAAACGGTCACGTGGGCCGCATTCAAACAAAACTTACTCAGAACCCAAGCGTCTACAATAAACCAGAGTGGAGCAGCCGGCAGGGCCCTAGCTACCGACAGTCCTCCGGCTTCCCCCGAGGTTACAAAAACAAAAAGGTCATTAGGCAGCGGAATCACCAATAAAACAAACAGATAAAAAGAGCAAAACGTTAAAACAACGCATTCAAGTAATCCTCGCAGTTTTTAAGTTGCATATACACACGTGTTGGGGGAGGGCTTATGGACGTACTTCACAGAAAGCAATTTCAAAAACAAAACCGTAAGAGCGGAGAGTCACAATCCAGGGGCCCACGGGAGATACTCTAGTCTAAATATTTTGGCAGTTTTTAAAGGGTCCCATTGTAGACGCCACACACGCACAAGGGCAAGAGTGCAGACAGAAGGGCGGCCCCGGGGTGGGTGCATGGAGGGCGGGCGGTGCCGTGGGGGAGGCGGGGCGGGTCTATGAACAGGGAGGGAATGGCTTCTGCACACACATTAGCAACAGAAGCGCTAAAGGAAGAGGAGAAAGCTTGATAAACAAGCTGAGACTTGGCTGCTTTTGTCTGAGCAGATAACTAGGGAAGAAAACAAAGTATACTTTGGGCGGAAAGGGACATTCCTGGTCCTGGGGGAATTGTTCCAGTGAACGGAAACTACAAAGTACCACTGTTGAGTCAATATTACATCAATTCCTGGGCTATTGAGACAAGGGTACAACTTAATAATAATAATTTATGCACCCAAACCGCTCCTCCCGAAAACCAACGGAGCTGTTTTCTGAACCGAATTTGCATACCACTAAAGGAAAAACAAACACAACAAAAAAACAAAACAAAGGGAGAAACTTCACGGAATGCCACGTTTTTCAGGGCCGGCTTGTAAAAGGCTACGCGGTCTTGCCCCATTTAAGACTTTTGCCATGTTGAGGTTGCTTTCTCCAGTAGCTCATCGGCTGGAAATGAGGTTACAGGCCCTCAGCTGTGGTCTAAGGGGCGGCTGGTTTCTCACTGCCTTGCTGAACGGGGTGGGGGACCCCGAGAGGGCTGGGCTCAGGCTGCGTGATCGGTATAATAATTCTGAGGAAATTTGAATGACAAAGTTCTGTTTAAACACGCAGGCCAACCCATCGGTTTTCTGCCTTTGAGACTGTATTCCAAGTGTGTCCCACGTGACCACTGGGAGACTCTGGGTGACAAGACCCACTAGCTCGGCGAGCTCCCGGGTCGGTGTATTTAAAAATAAAAAGCATTTTTAAAAATCAGGCTGTCATTACCTAAAAGCCACTAAATTCCACCTTGGTGGCCCTTGGGAGCAATGGCTGCGAACTTCCTGCTGGAGTCGGGTCCTGGACTCCCACCCGGGGCGCTGCTGTGGCTTTAAACATCAGCTCCCAGTTGACTTGAGCTTTTTAAAGGAGCCCTCAGTGTCCAGGCAAGGAGCTCATTTCCCATTTAAAGGACAGGAATACTTTCCAAAGCCAAGCGGAAGGGGGACCTGGACGAGCACCTTCATTCTGAGCCTCCTGTAGCTGTCCTACATGATCGCAGGGCGGATCCTGGAAACGGGCACGAACACTGGGCTTGGCACCGCCTGTGCACGTGACAACCTCACCGCCTGTCCTGCCAACTTCGAAATGCAAATCCCCATGTGACCCAGTTTCCTTGGAAGATGGTGAAACGGTGTATTTGATTCTGGCTACAGTTAACTGTATGAGGCCAGCAAACAACTCTACAACAATTTCTCAGTCCACCCGCACTTGGGGGCTTAAAGATGCCACTGATTTCTTTTAATCCCCCCTTTGAAAAGTGAGGGATGGGGGCTGTGTCTGTGTGGACACAGCCCCACCTGGGGCGGGTCAGCCGACCACAGCTCCACTCGCCACACACCCTTCGACAGGACAGAGCAGAGCGGGTGCTGTTCTTACAGACGCTCCCCTACAGGGCACTGGCAAAGCTGACCGGCTCTGTCAACCTCGGAGGGAGATCGAGAGTGTAAAAATCAACTGGGGCCCTGGCCGGTGTTGCCTGCTGGTTAGTGTTGGCCCACACACCAAAGGGTCTCGGGTTCGATTCCTGGTCAAGGGCATGTACCTGGGTTGTAGGTTCCCTCCCCACCCCTGGTTGGGGCGTGTATATGAAGCAACCAGTCTCTCTCTCTGTGTCTCTCTCTCTGTCTCTTTCTCCCTCCCTCCCTTCCATTTTCTCTGAAAAGCAATAGAAAAAATATCCTCAGGTGAGGATTAACAAATAAACAAACAAAAAAATCAACTGGGTAAAATTGACCAAACTTTTCCAGATTTCATCTGCTTGTTTGGGATCAAATAGACATAATAGGATAATCTCGATGATCTAACAGTGACTTTTACCAGGTTTAGGTAAAATTACACACTTTTGATACCAATAAATGAATCTTCTACTTGCTTCTTTATTCAAGGAGGAAGAGCTTTTATGTATGACTTCCTCCAAAGTGAATGACTGTAAAATGTAACAAACTAGCATAGTTCAATGTACTAAGTTACAGAATGTAACCTTCTATGGTAGTTCCATTGGTGGCAGACACGAGATACAAATGAGAGGGCTGAATCTGCTGCGCCAGGGGGTGTGTGGCCTTTGAAACTGGGAAATATTGATTAGAAGCTAGAAGGCAACTTTTTGTTGTTATCTACAGATGCTGCCGGAAGGAGAAGTGTTTACCCGACTTCAAATGACACAGCTGTAAACTGGCAGTTGGCAGCTTTCCACATAAATGCCATCAGCAAGCGAAACTCGATACTAGTCAAGACTAGCCAAGGAATTCGGAGCGGCCCCGACCCGCGAGGGCGGGAGCCAGGCTCTGCGGGCGGCTCTCCGGCCAGGCTTTTGAAGAACTGCCTGGAGCAGTCACAGTTGTGGGGAGAAACAACTCCAATTGCTTTTAAAAAGTTTTTAAAAAGCTGTATTAAATATAAGTCTTAGCACCTTTGGCATTTTTGTCCAAATACACTTCGACGTATGAAGTGGGGACATAGCCCTCTTCGTCTTCATTTCTCCGAATGCGGGTCCACCCGTCGCCTTTGTCTTCCTCTATGACGTACAGCGTTTCTCCTTCAACTACTGAAATGGTTCCTTCATTCTGACCTGAAAACAAGATCAGAATATATGAGGTTTACGGGCAAACAGGAGCTTGGCCAGGAAACAGGTGCAGTGAAAGCAGAGGATGGGGTCCGCAGGTGCCCGGCCCTGCCCCTTCCAACAAGGCGAGGAGCGCCACCTCCCACCTGGCTAGGCCGCAGGGACTTACTTTCCCGGGAAGCCTTCGGTCCTCTCCGCTCCTGCTCCTCTCCCTCCCTCCCTCTGGGGAAAAGTACTCCCAGGGCTTTGGTCACCCCCCGTCCCCCACCGCCTTCCCCAGTCTGGCTGTGTCCCCAGCGAAGGCTCCCTCTTCGGCCCGAGCACATCTGTGCCTAGCGTTGTCCTGAAATCTGAGCACAACGGACGGACCTGGGTTCATGGCTGCTCCCTCTTCACACACCCCCTCCTCTCCCATTTCAGCGGCGTCTCCCTTGTCCCTCACGCCTCGTCTTTGATTTCCTCCCGCTTTGTTCCCACTGGCCATCAGCCAGGAGTCCGAGCAGCGTGTTAGCTGCGGCATCTCTGCGTCCGTTCCTCCGTCGAGGCTCCTAAGGCCGTTCGCTAAGATAATTTCCGGGACCGGCCACCACTGCCGACAGCCCTCGGAAAGGCGCCTTGTTCAGGGGGCGGTCAACAGGGGTGTGGGGGTGCTTTAGACATGAAGTGAAATTGGAACATCTAACCTGGTCCTTCCCTTTCTTGTCTTGTCACAATGAAAATGCACGTATGCCAGGGCTTCCCCAACTTATCTGCACCCCGCCCTCCCTCAGCTTCGTCACGGTCTGCAGACACTGGGTCAAGGTTCCTCAGTTCCCGACAGCCGGCTCCCCTTTCCAACCATCATCCTGTTCTAATTGCTCCTCCACTCATGATAACAAAGGTCCCAGGTCCAGCTCGGTCGGGCAAGGTCTCTCCCAAATCCTCTCAATACGTCCTCAGTGTTTGCCGCCTACAATCCACATGTGTCCTTTCCTCTCCCCCAGCCCCATGGGCACTGCCCACCTCTGGTCTGACATTCCTCTCTGACCACCTAAGACACCGGGGCTCAGCCACACCTCCCAGGCCTGGTCCCCGTGCCCCCTGCCCGTCTGTGCCCCTCCCGGAGGCTGAAGCTGCCCCCTAGACACAACTCTGCTTTGTTCTCCGGGGTGGACGCCACACCGCACTGCCTGCATCCCACCCCCTGGGGAGTCTTCTCAAGACAGGAGTTCTGTAAATATTGGACGAAAGCAGGAAATAACCATTACTCCTTTCTCTCTGCTGCAGTTACGTAAGCTCCATGAAGGCTGTTCAATTACATGGGCCAAACAGGAGAATACACAGCCAGCAACCTGATGATGAGGACACTCTCAGCAGAACAAAAGGGAGTGAGAGGAAGGTCTGGGGGGCTTAGCAGAAAGGCAGCCACAGGCAGGGCGGGTGCTCGGACAGCTCCGGACAGTGGGGATCTCGGTGCAACGAAGCGTTACCGTCGAAGGTGTAGAGCGCTTTACACGTCCCGATGGCGGGCAGCGGCTCCTCGTCGTCAAACTCGTCGTCGAAGTCCGTGGCCCAGCACCTTTCACCTCCGCTTCTCCTGGCTTCTGCTCCTCCGTGTAACTGGCCATTCCGGG